ACCCAAGACCTCCGTGTGCAACCGTACATGTTAGCCACTACACCACCGTGGCAGTTGTTATTCCAATAGCGTAGCATAAAAGAAGCAACGATGCTTCAATAGTCCGGGCGTAATGCGTCATGCACAAATATAATTACCATACCAGTCGGCCTAGAGGTTTGTTAAATTTTGATGACGCTCATATGTTAATATGTGAACCACTTGGTGCCTGGCACTTTGTTTGTGTTTCTTATAGCATATTTTTTTCAACCAACTTCCAAAAAGGAGGAGGTTCTCAATTCGTCGGTTTTTTTATGTATGTTCACCGATTACTCAACAACTCGACAAACAAACGTAAAGTTTTTCTTATATTATTTTCTTATCATATGCATTTAGTAAGAAGCTTATATTTTGACATTACAAACAGACACTTCTATTTTGTTTATCTGTATAGATAAAATATGTATATACGAGTATGAATTTAGTCAGAAAAAATTTGCTTTATCACGGATTGAATTGACACAGTAGAGAGAATCTGTGTTTTTTTATATAATTAAAATGAAATGCTGTTTATTGGTAGCTGTATCACTTGATGGGCTGGAATGATTTAGCTAATTTTCAACCGACTTCTTCAAAAAGGAGTAGGTTCTCAATTCAGCTGTTTTTGAAGTTATACTTCTTTTGGCACGTTTAAAAAAAATATCTGAGTAAAATTTCTACGATGCGCGCGCACACCGACAGCCAAAAAACGACAAAATGACAAGAAGTCAGCTGAAAGCGACATGAAGTTAGCTGCACTCCTTTTACAAACAGAGAGTTGTGACATACGGGATGAAATCTTTAGCTATTTTTGTTCTGTTACGCCAAAGAAGTATAACTTCTTACGTACGTACATAAGTACACACACAAGTATTTTTTTCTTATGTTTTTTCGTATATTTGGGCATTTTTTGTTTTGTTTGAAAGTGTATACTTCCAGATTGGACCCATTTATAATAATAAATTTTAAAATATTAAAATGTTCGTAGTAGTGCTTTTTCCATATAATTTCAGTATTACCTTAAATATCTATACATATAATAAAATTGTAACTAAGCCGAACCTGTACATTAAATATTTTTTGGAAAATCTTATTGAAACAAACATTATTATCGATACAGAGGGCGAATCTAAAGTTTTTAGAATTTTTGTCTGTCTGTCGGTCTGTTACAGCATCGCGGAAAAACCACTGGAGGGATTTTGATGAAATTTGGTATGGGGATATCCGGGTCAACATATAGGATATTTTTTACCGCGGGAAAATATCTCATTTCTGAGAAAAAATACAAAAGCTGCATTGTAAGAGTATACTAATATGTAAAACCTAAGAATTTGGCTTTTGGTCATCTTAACGCGGGCGGAGCCGCGGGCAATGCTAGTCATAATTAAGTTTATTGAAAGTAGGAATAAAGAGAAAACGAGGAATTTGGTCCGAATAGTTTGTAATTAAATCAAAGCTTTTTAATCTGTGCTTATTTACTTAATAAAAAAGCTACACTGGCTTTAAAATTTCTTAAAAGTTTCATTCCACTCGGTGGATGGCTTTTTTATTCGATTACCTTTGAATTGTAATCCGTTCAATTATAATATACACTAAACAATTAACGAATTAAGTATCATCTCCTTTTTAAACTCGATCATAAACACGTAGTCTCTGTTGGTTTATAAGTAAATAATCTCTGACACTAATATCGATTTATATCAAAATCGATTTTTAAAACATTTAAGTTACATTATTACATAGTAACATAATATCGATATAATACAAGGTTACATATATGAGAAAGTTATTAAAAAAAAAACAAATCAGACCAAAACATGTTTTTTTTTTAATTGAAAATCTAAGAAATTTAAAAAAAAAAGTAATTTCCCAACATAATATTCTGATGACATCCATCTCGATGTCCATGACATTTATATATACCTACAGTTGTCGGTCTGTACGTTGCGATCATCAATTATATTGTTACCGAGGTATTAGGTAAGGTTTTGTTTATATTTGCTTAGAGACCTCCTGTGGCTGTACTGATCGATTGTACACGTATCTTACAATTATTAAATGTGGTTTTTTGTTAATTAAGCTACGAGGCTTGTCTTATGGATACCAGATAGTTGATACACACCTATGACTGGAGTACAGACATTCGTGGTCATCACACAAATCAAGGCAGTGGTAGCCCAGTGGTAACGCGATCGCTTGGGAAACCGAGTGAAGCGGGTTCAAATCCCGGGTCTCGCACCTCTGATATTTTTATGTGCGAATCATTTCTAACTTGATTACCACTTGCCTTACGGTTAAGGAAAACATCGTGAGAAAACCTGCATGTCTGAGAGAACCTAGACAGTTTTCGAAAGACATATGAAGTCACTTGGCCAGCGTGGTGTGTGTGAGAGTGACTATGGCCTGATTCCCCTCGTACTGAAGGGAGGCCCGTGCCTAACAGTGGGACGATAAAAAGGGCTGAATACAATACATACACAAATGAATGGCCCAACGGGACTCGAACCCGCGACCTCTGGCACAGGTCACTATAAACTGAGCCAAACGTGTCGTCTTTACAACACTTTACTATTTAAGATCGAATATTTCTTAAGAATCGATATTCGTTACGAAAATTTATCTTTTCATCTAATAGTGACATTTGCCCGTAACTTATACGTTTAACAAAAGAGTCACTATTTTTGTTGAAATTTATAATACAATACTTATCAATATTGTGAATGTAAATGTTGTAAGTTTCTTCTCTTTTAGTTGAGAAATTGACGTTATTTTTTGTATAGAGAACAATACATTCTAATATTATAAATGTTAGCGTGTTAGTTTGTTTGTCCTTCTTTCACGTCGAAACGGAGTGACGGAATAGCGTGATTTTTTGTGTGGAGATAGTTGGAGGGATGGAGAGTGACATAGGCTACTTTTTGATGCGGAAGATTATCTGATTCCCACGGGATAACACGTTATAATACAATCCAAAAAAATATTTATGATCAGAATTACTTAAAACTACGTATTAATGGTCTTTAATACAATTAAATAAATACGTGTTTTAGCATTTTTCGAAATACATCCCATAAGGGGGTAAAATAGGGGATGAAAGTTTGTATGAAACCTACCTTTTTAATTTTTTTTGTAGTTTAGCGCGAGCGAAGCCGCGGGTTCTGCTAGTGATATATAAAAACATAGATATACATTTCCTAACAAATATCTCTACAAAAATTCACGTCAACATGTGACGCTAAGTTTTAAATTGTCAATAATTAAATGGTTGATATTCGACCACTTTGCGACCACTAGTAGATATAAGTAGGTATATATAGTGATGTAAATTTAAAATCCCGGTACACAAAAATCATCCCGTGGGATAGCAGTCTGTTATAAAAAGTGTTTAAATTGAAGACCCATCACTAATACTAAATAATTAATTATGGCCTATAAAATTTTATACTTAGAAGTATCCACGAACTTTAAATTACGTTCAAAATAAACACACGTGACCTCTACTTTTTGAATATTTATTATTTTTTTATTATGACACCATGAAAATGGTTGATTAAATAGTTATTGTTTGATTTTGATTATGAATAATCGGTGTATCAAAATTTTTACAAACATACGCACGACATCTCAAGGGTCGCTTACCCTTGCTTTTCAAGATCCTATATATACTAATATTATAAAGAGGCAGAGTTTGTTTGTTTGTTTGTTTGTTTGTTTGTTTGTTTGTTTGTTTGTTTGAATTTGCTAATCTCAGGAACTATTAATCCGATTTCCAAAATTCTTTTTGCATTAAATAGCTCGTTTATTGAGGAAGGATATAGGTTACGATACATACTAAACGTTAAAACATACTACTAACATCGATCAAAAAAGTACTAGATACATAATCAGCGACAAAAAATGTCCTCACCGAATGAGCGCTCATATGAACATTTGAGCGTGCTTTTAACTTAAAAAAAAATAAGAATTGCATTTAAGGTTCAATTCAAATTGTTGTATATTTATTTCAACTAGAACAATTACCTAAACACAATTGGTGACAGTTTTAAGAGAACTTTTGCATGGGATTGTGTATCTTGTACATTTTTGATCGATGACTACGGACGAAACCGAACGAATCTATGGCGAGTCGCTAGTATAAACGGAAAATTTTTAAGCCGTCACAATATGTAGCATCACTATCTATCACGTAAATGCTATGACTAATCTATACATATAATAAAATTGTAACTAAGCCGAATCTGTACATTAAATATTAAATAAAAAATCTTATTGAAATAAACATTATTATCGATATAGAGGCCGAACCTATGGTTTATAACTTATGGTCACAGAAAAACCACTGGAGGGATTTTGATGAAATTTGGTATGGTGATAGCTGGTTATCCGGGTCAACATATAGGAGTTTTTACCGCGGGAAAAAGTCCTATTTCTGAGAAAAAATACAAAAACTGCAATGTAAGAGTATACTAATATGTAAAACCTAAGAATTTGGTTTTTGGGCATCTAAACGCGGGCGGAGCCGCGGGCAATGTTAGTTCCTAAAATATTACAACAATAATAGAGTAAAGAAGAAAAATATGTGACACCTGCAGAATTGTTCATTTTGTTATTTGCTTTTCGCGAACTCGAAGGTCAAAATTTGTTGAACGTAAATATTAAAGGTTATCGTGATTATTGATAGCGCATTGCATTAAAAACTGCTGGCGATGAAAAATTTAAGTTTAACTTGAATAATAATATTTTTGTAAAGTTAGAAATAATTTTTGGAGGGTTCCGAATGTTTTAATTTAAAAATTTACTTATAATTTATATTATTAAAATAATCTGTGATATATATTTTTTTATAACCTTAATTTTTAAAACAAAAAAAAATGACGATAACAAAAAGTAACTGAAACTCATAAAAAGGCACGGAAAAGGTCTGTGGTATTAGCATATTATTTTAAAATAAAACATGAGTTTGAACAAAAATAGTTACTAACCTGGACCTTAACTTGCACAAAAGCGACGCCATTGTTGCACAGAGACCTCAGGACACAGGAGTAGCCTTCAGCAGAACATGTCTGTTCCAAGTCACCAGCAGATGCCTCTATACCAACATTTCCTGAACTTTGGAAGATTTCATCGATATTCTGCTGAGTTTGCTGTTGTTGTGTAAAATCGAAGTCAGCTTTTTCATTTTGGATTAGATTTACGTTGGAAGCGACAGGAACGAATGGGGCGGGAGAGGAACCAATGTATCCTGTGGAAGCTTTGTTTCCATAAGCACCAGCACCAAAGTTCTGTGATCCACTAGCTTCAAACGCGCTTTGGAAACCTTGACCAGCCTTATAACCACCGTTCAGGAAAGGATTTTGGGATAAATCCATTTCACCCTTATTGGAAGCACTATATGAAGAAGATTCGAAAGATGAAGATTGGTAATTAGGTTTAATATCAGCTCCTAAGGAGAGATCGCCGTTTAAGAATGGGTTTGCACCTAAGTCCAAGGCACCAGAAACTCCACCAGAACTTCCACTACTGGAATAACTAGAGCTTGAAGATTTGCTGAACTTTTCAAAGTTACCGCTGGCACCACCGGCTTTGAAGGGTGAGTCTTGGTTCATCCACCAGAAAGGTTGATTACCTAAAGCACCTTCTAAGGCATTGTTACCAAAACCTGAATGGAAGATAAATTCGTTGTTAACATCAGCGGCAGCCGCCGCGTTAAACGCGTCCACGTTACCAAATCGTTGAATCACTTTTCCATCTTTAATCTTAAGTCCAGCACATCCTTTGTCACTTGAGCAGCCTTGGTAAGACTGTTGAGTGTGAACTTCAGCTCCGGGAAGCGATTTGAGAGCTGCTAACGCTTCCTTTGGAGATTTAATTTTAAGGTTCAGTGATGTGCAGGTGGTGCATCGCTCTACCCTCGCTTGAGGCTCTGATTCTTCAGCTTCGACTATTGGTTCTTTAGATTGGGGCAGTTCCTTGACGTCTTCAATACTTTCAGGCAGTGCATGAATTGTTATTAGCAGGCACATTGCCACCACTGTCTTGAGTAGTGGCTTCATTATTATATCTGAAACAAATAATATAAATAACATTATTTTTTTGTTTACAATCAAATATATAAATACAATCGACTAATTCCACCAGTTAGATATTACGAAAATTACGAACAATTGACAAATAAAACAGGATTCTTTAACAAAGTTATATTCTTTTCTGATCTAATTTGCTGGTACTTTTTATGTTATTTAGCTTTTGTTACTTATTATTATCTCCATATAGTTAAGGCAGATTGGATTTTTGATTTGAATTTATTTATAATAAAAAGATCAATAAAATGATTTCATTATGTACATTTTCTCATTTAATCTCTTGGAGAACCCAAAAATGAAGAACCAAAAAAGATGAACCAAACATTTCATATAACAAAAAAAAATATTAAAAAAAAGCTCATCAATATTTTTTGTACTATCATTGAAAATTGTGAAGTATAGTTCAAGGGCGTATTTTAATAAAATTTAGATATCTTAACATATAGAGGTCTTATGCCAACGAGATAGAGTCGAAATTGCAGGAATTCTTGAAAACTGACTAACAAAGATTTATTTTATCTATTGACATATGAATTTTATGTGGATGCTGATTTTGATCTTTAACCTCTCTTATATAAATTGGTTTTGGAGAAACATCATTTATTACAATTTATGATATAGAATTTTGATTTTTGACTTTCTGCTATTGTAATGGCGACCAGTTTAAGATCCTGTAGGGAAAATATAGTTTATTTAATAGTTTCTTAGCGACCGAAATTCGTTCAGCCTTTTGTAAAATCATGTTTTTTTTAAAAAAAAGATGTAAAAATTGCTTTTTTTTCCGAAAAAGACACCTATATAGATAAACTTATAAAGCAAAATACAAATTTTGATCCAAATCTTTAGAGCCGTCTTCGAGGTATAGTGGCGTATTTCTTTCTAACTTGTGTTCTCTAGTGATCGAAATTAATATATGAATTTGAATTTACATTTTTCCAACATTTGATAACGCTTGTCATTTGCTACTAAAAAAATCGGTTGATAAACAGAGAAGAAAAAGGTACTGAACTGTTTTGATAAAAGAAAATTTTGCGGTTTTTTGCTACCAACTGAGGCCTATCATCAGACATAACGTATACTAATCTATAGTAATATTATAAAGAGGTAAAGTTTGTGAGTTTGAGAGTTTCTGAATTGTGAGTTTGTGACGTTGTAGGGGGTAATATCTGGATCTACTGAACCGATTTAGATGAAATTTGGTAAGAAGATAGTTTGAGACCCTGGGAAGGATAGATGTTTTCCTTCACCGTAAGACAAGTGGTAATCATGTTGGAAATGATTCGTTCATGAATATATCATAGGTGCGAGACCCGGGATTTGAACCTACAACACTCGGTTTTCCAAGCGAGTCACAACTGGGCTACCACTGCCTTAACAAAGATAATGAAAATAGAGCGATAAAAATAACAAGTTTCTAATTGTGATGTAATAGTTACGTACAAGTTAAATATATTAGATGACCATATGTCAAGCCCACGACTTAGGAATTCAAATATCATATCTATCCTTTTTTGGCAACCGCATCCAATATGGTAGGGATATAATTAATGTATACATAAAAAAGATGACGGACGGACATGTCTAAACGATGAATTTTTAGATTTTTTAAACAAAGTACGAGTTAGGCACAATGTTTTTTGTTTGTTTGTCCAAACATATCTCAGAATGTGTCCCATTTTGATTGAATTTTTGTAAATCGATAGAGAAATTCGTTGTAAGATATAGAATTTTAAATCAAAATTACGTTAGTGAGTTGAATTATGGCTAAAAGCAATAAAAAATTTGTAGTATGTGGGTTTGTATAAGCTGTGTTAGTAACAGACTGTGTTTTTGTGATAATTGCAGTCTTTAAATGGATAGCTAGATAGATATTTACGTGATAAAATCTTGATTTATATATTATTATTTATATACAAAAACGTCTGTTCCGGATGTTGTTTCGTAAAATCCAATGCAATTAAGCCTATAATGTCCTTACAACAGCTAACTTGATTTTTTAATGTTCCGTTTCATTTGAGATTTAACGGTTACTATAGATTTTTGAGAGATGAGATATTTTCCCGCGGTAAAAAGTATCCTATAGGTTGACCCGGACAACCAGCTATCATCATACCTTTCATCCAAATCCCCCCAGGGCTTTTTCCGTGATGCGGTCACAGACAGACAAACATTCTAAGCACTATAGAATCGGCCTCTGTATTTATATTAATATCTATTTCAATAAGATTCTCCACAAAAAAAAAACAGACTCGACTCAGTTAGAAATGTATTATATATGGCGGCCAATCTCACTAATGCGAGACTAGCCAACTGCAGGAGATATTATAGTGCACAAGTATTCCTTTTACTCACAAAGTCAGATAATTTTAAATAAAACTATGTTTTCGGATTATTTCGCGGATTTATTTTGATTTTTGGTTCCCGACGTTTCGAATGCTTTACAGCAATCATGGTCACGGGAGAGACTGAGGTGTTAGATGTCTCAAATCTATACTAATATTGTAAAGAGGTAAAGTTTGTGAGTTTGTGATGTTGTAGTGGGTAATCTCTGGATATACTAAACCGATTTAGATGAAATTTGGTAAGAATACAGTTTGAGACCCTGGTAAGGACATGCGATACTTTATATCCCGGAATTCATCTCTTAAAGGGGTGAAAATGGGGATGAAATTTATTTTGCATTGGGAAGCAAGCTTGGGATGAACCCGAGCGAAGCGATGGTGAGTCGCTAGTGTAAATATATTTTTGTTACAGACAGTGAATACCCACAATTTTACAAAATGAATGAATGATGAATGAGACATACTATATGTGCATATATTTCTTTTTTATCTTTAACAGACCTTCAATGTCATAATACCGTGTGTATATTTACTTCTTCAATACAATTTGGCCTCAAACTATTGTGTACTAATAAATATTATTATCGTGTCCGTTTTGATAGGAATTTCGTTAGTATCAGGGTCACATCCGGAATCCATCCTAATATGATGATGTCCTCCTGACCGATTCCGGCTACGGCGACCAATCTCATTGAGACTAGCCAACTGCGTAGGAGATATTATAGTGCACAAGTGTACGCGCAGACACAACGTGCACTCTCTATTCCTGTGACTCTCATACTCCGGTGGGACGACTACTCGACACGACCAGTGAGAGTCAAGGCCATCCTAATATTATAAATGCGAAAGTAACCTTGTCCGTTTGTCTGTCTGTCTCCTTTTTATGCTTAATCCGCTGAATCGATTTAGTTGAAATTTGGGAAGGAGATAGCTTGAGGTCCTGGAAAGGACATAGGGTAGTTTTATCCCGGACATCACTCCTTAAGAGCTTCGATCAACAATACTACTGAGTTACTTGAGTTTGTATGGGGAAGAAATCATTTCTCACAAGTGAGGGTATAAAACTCATCATACCTAATATATATGTATATAATCTATCTATCCCATACTATTACTAGTAAATCTCCTAAAATTCTTCACCGATTGCTTTTAAATTTTGACGCATATGAGTGTTTTATGTGGAGATGATTTTCTCTTATCTATCTATCTATACAACTCGCCGCTAGATGGCGCTGTATCTTCTATTGAACAATCGTTTTTTTAGATATTATAATAAAATTTGTTAGCTATTTTTCTAATATATAAATATCTCGTGTCACGGTGTTTGTGGTCGTATTCCCCCGAAACGACTCGACCGATTTTAATGAAATATTTTTTGTATATTTGTTAGGTATGAGAAAAGGTCGTAAAGTATTTTTCACCCTCCTACCCCCATCCCCCGTTTTTTAATCGCGATTTTAGTATTTTTGTATGAACAATATCCCAATAATTTAATACTATATAAGTACATCGGGACGAACCCGAGCGAAGCGAGTTTGAGTCACTATATAATAATATATAAAGCAAAAGAGCTATCTTTTAGATTGAACGCGAGTGAAAACGCAGGTTCTGCTAGTGTTTAAAATACTGCTAGTATATATATTATTATCATTCAGTATATAAATTATCATTTGTGTACTATTTTAAAACAATATTGTTTGGCTTCATGTTCAGTTCTATGACGTTCTATGTTATTTCTAAATCTGAGTTAATAATATGAGGATTTTGAATCTATTAGTTATATTTAGCATAAAGATGCGGCGTTTTTCTGTTTTTTTTTGGTAAAATTTTTCCATTAAACCTCTATTTTTTTTAAACCCGTTTAATTAATTTAGCAATGGAAACAAATTAGTCAGAAAAATAGCCACTTTCATGTTTACAATACCTGGTAATAAGCATGGGCTTATTTTTACATTTATTTATTTATGTTCTCGGATTTTTTGGCGGATTTATTTAGATTTTTGGTTTCCGACGTTTCGAATGCTTTACAGCAATCATTGTCACGGGAGATACCTTTAAAAACCTTGGTATTTATAATATTAGTAGAAGCATTAAAAATTCTCTTACAAAGATGAAATACATACAAACATACACACAAATAGAGTGCATCCTCCTTTTTGAAAAATCGAGGGTCGATTCAGTAACATTGTAAGGTTTCTCCCATGACTCACGTATACGTGGGAGACCAAGGTTTACTTGGCAATTTATAACGATTGTTGGTCCATTAAGTATAGATAAAATATATTATTATAAACGAGATAATATAATAATGCTGTAAGTGTGAAAGCTATGAGTGAGTGAGTTAGTGAGTTTGTTATTATATAAAAGAATTTATAATACGGTAAGTCTATAGAATTTACTTCGTCTCTAGCCCCTAGGTACGTTTTAATGGTTAGTGATTCCCATACAAAATAAACAGTTATGAACTTTTCGATCTACAAACTTGGCCATTTTTTGCTTTTATGTATTTCTTGATATTACTTAATTTGATGTATATTCATCTATACATACAGTGTCTTGAGAAAAATGGTGTTAATATCGAGTGAAACCACGTGTCGAGCCTAACTTGAGCAGCCTAGGTCTAACGTA